GACACTGGTAGAACTAACCTTCTTGGATGTTTAACAGCCATACTTTTTAGGCCTATATTAATCTGGTCAGAGGGATTTAAAGACAGTTTTTACTCCTTTTCCTCCAAGCACATAACCATCATCATTCTAAATGAAAAAAAAAAGAAAGATCCAGGGGAGTATGGAGCATATCTCAAAATGTCCTGTAACTGTGGTGAGTCACCTGTCCTCTTGATCAAGGATGATTGGAGACCATATCAGATGGACTTGAACCAGTGTCCAGTCTACAAAGAGGAAATATTTACACCAAGCTTCCAAGTGAAGTCACCTGCATTTGAGTAAGACCTTTGACTTAACTTCACATAGACGGAACTGGTAAAAGAAAGGAGCCAGGGGCTCCTCCCAAGCCCATGTGACCCCTGAGGAACAGATCCTCAAACGACCTTAAGAGTAAAATTAAATTGGTTAATTTGGGCCAACTGCATGGTCTTAAACACCCAAAAAGAAAGCATAACCAAAGATTAAAGAGATCAGTATAATTCTTTAAGATTCCATGTGCATAGCTAAAGGCTACATATCAAGAAACAAGGCCAGGCTTCAGATCCTTTCCTTTCAGGTTCTGGCCAGGGTGTCTCAAGAGATTCCTAGACAGTAACTCAGCATAGAAATGGAAAAATGAACAGCAGACCTCAATCTTACCTAAAGAAATGTTGGCAACTAATTGATGCTAGGTGAGGAAGAGCTGACCATCCCAAAACAAAGAACTCCAGATAGGCTGACTAGACTCACAAGATGGACTTGCACTGGGTAATGCCTATAGGCACTGATAATATGGTGGACGGTAACAGGGATGGCAGGGTGTATGGGCTGTTGGGGGGTGGCTATGGGAGGGTGCAATTTGGGATGTGGAATAAAGATGAATAAAATTGTTTGGGATGTTCTGTATGAAATACACACAAAAAAATCTATAAATAAAAAAATCCAAAGACATGCTAGGGGAAACATACTTGTTTTTCACAGTGCGCAAGAAGAGAGTAGTAGTCTAGGTAGTCTCAGGTCACCAAATGTCCATATTTTTTTATTTGTAATAAAAGGATACATGACAGAATCAACTTTTCACAGTATATCATGGCACATTAGATTATTTGGCCTTTCATTTAAAAAGAACAGAAAACCTGTTGGTTAAAACACCACAGATTATATTTTTTGATTCCTCTGGAACTAGAGTTAAGGATGGTTTGTAGCCACCATCTGGGTGCTGGGAATCTTACCCAGGTCCTCGAGAAGAGCAGTCAGTGTTCTTAACCTTTGAGCCATCTCTACAGCCCCATAAAGATTAATTGTTACATTTTCACAGACAGTAAAATTGAACTTGGTGTCCTTGAGTTCCTCTGATATAACACTATTTGATGGATAAATCTCAGATAACCACCCAGGATAAGATGAGACTTAGACTAAAATTGTATGAGTCTCTGCAAGGCTGGATTCAGCTTTGCTGTTCTAACATATAGCATCCCCTTTTCGAAGTCAAATGAGTGACTGTGGTTACCAAATAGACAAAACAACGAATAGCAAATATGTAAAGATTTTTCTACATTATTCAGGGAGAAACAACATAAAATTATCCTTTGTTAAGTTGGGTATCGCATTGTGCACATGAAATTCCAGTACATAGAATGTTGACACAATGGCATTACTATGAGTTCAGTACCTTGCTGGACTATATGCCAAGTTTCAGACCAGACACACACACAAACACACACACACACACACACACACACACACACACACTATTATAATGGGGCCTGCAAGATGGCCAGTGACCCAAGTTTGATCTTCAGGGATCCCATGATGGAAGAAGAGGAATGAGTCCAAGAAATTGTTCTCTGACCTACACATGCTTGTACACACACACACACACACACACACACACACAGACTTAATTAATTAATCAGTATTTTAAAAAATTCTGACATACAAAATGAAAAGTTGCTCCTTTTGTCTATAATATCAATAGAACAACCCCTTAAGAATTTTTCAACTAATATGTTCTGTACACACATATAAGTATCTACATATGTGTGTATGTAAATTTGAAAAGAAGAAAAATAAGAAAATATTTCACCACTTTATAAAAAGCAGTCAACCAGC